TCTTCCATAGCAACTTTCCTTTCTATAAAATATCTTTTTCTCTCTGTCTTTACAACAAGAACTTTGTAGGACTGTCCCATAATTCCACCAAGGTTTCTGTTTCTGATAGATGGCCCAGTTGGCTCGTCTCAGAAAACCTCCCCAAGACACTTTGGATAAGGAGCGGGAGGCGAGGCATGTAGGGGAAGGCAGTTTTGAGTCCCCTCAAGCTGAGGACTGGGTTTGGGTCTGTTGTGTGGCTCAGAGCCTCTGCTGAGTTCCCTGCTGTGTCGGATGCCATAGCTGGAGATCGTGAAGTTGGAGAACTGCCCTGAGACCTTCACCCCAGATATGAGGTGCATCATGGGCGAGTCTCCCTCGGTGCAGGACTACTTCGTCCTGGTGGGAATGAACTCTGCAGGCCTTTCGTTTGGTGGAGGAGCTGGAAAGTAAGTCCTTCCCACTCCCACTCGGCTTACTGGGCTTCCTCCTTTCTTCTTGTTCACATGGTCTGTGACGTACTTAGTCCAGCATGTTCGTAGTAAGCGGGCGACTCGTGTCTGCAGAGAGCTGTCCCCTTAAAGTTACTCGCCCCCACTCCAGGCACGTCACTGTACAGAATGTGTTTGGAATGCCTCCTTTGGAGTTAGCCTTGGATTTAGACAGGCATCTTCTTTACCCGTTTCCAAATTCCCTGGTACACTCTGGTAACAGGTACAAATGATTTTATGCACAGTGTTTATCCTTAGTGATGGTAAATACACATACCTGGTTACCACAGATGCAGAACATTTCTCAAGGACACATAGCAAGAGTAGAGAAAATGTCTGTTTATTCATTTACAAACTTAGTAACATGAAAAGAAAACCTTAATTGAAATCTGGCTTGACAGAAACACAGTGCACAAAGTTAATGCCTCGTTCACGGGGGCAGAAACGCTCGGTCACCCTGGGTGCCTGTCATCCCCAGGGTGTGGCAGAAAGATCCGTTTACTAAAGGGCCTCGAACAGCTGCAGGACCACATGCTGACAGGGATGGGAAAGGGCTGAGCTGAACTGCACATTTACAAACGCAAAGGATGAGTTGTAGCTGTTACACCAGTCACAATGGTGTTTTCATACATCCCAGGGGTTGACCAGAGAGTAGCGTTAGCTGTGCTGCTGGAAAACCCTTCACTGGAATGAGCTGCAGAAGCTTTCGACCCCACACCGGCCTGCTGAAGGTCCTTCTTCCGTTTCCGCCCGCCGTGTGACGCTCTGGAGTGTAAGGCACTAGAACCTGGCCGGGTGGAGGAGGGCCCCAAGCCCCAGTTCCTGGTGTGCAAAGGGAATCCTGGCATCGATCTGTTGAAACAGGTGCTAAAAGTATCCCCTCCACGACTTATAATTTCTGTCCTTGAGAGACAGAAAAATGAGAAGGGAGGAAGTCTGCAAAGGATAAAAACAGGTGTACCTAAATATGAGAAAAATGGCCCATGAAGAAATGCATAATTCTCCAAGGGTTTTGCTCAGAGAAGTCAAGAATCATATTATACAAGGAACAACTCTGGTGTTTAATGGACAAAGAGAAGGCAAAGACATACAAAAATACTCAGTCTTCTTAAAAAATAGTGTATCTGTAGTGGCGAGGGGCTGCAGATACCAGCCCCAGAGTGACAATGAAGGCGCCTTACAGCTAACTCAGCACCGTCATGTGGAGGGTAGAGTGGCAGGGGCATGGGGCATGCACTCACAGGGGAGCCCTAGCCCCTCAGGACTCACTGCCCGGCCTGGTCACCTGTCATCTCTCCCCTACTCAGCTGTGCCTGAGGCCACGTGCCTGCAGGAGGACGAGTCCTCGCTCAGGAGGAACTTCCTCTGTATGGTGTTGAGAAAATGCTGCTCACATCAAGGTTTCTGAGGGATGAGGGTGGGTGTGCAGAAAGAAAAGGAAATAGTAGGTTATACTTGAGTGTTCAACACTGTTGACCAGATCTCCTTACTGGATACTAAAGACGATCCTCACTGACTACACTGGCCAAGAGGCAACAAAGAGACACAAAAAGGACCTTGTAGTTTAATGCCTGAAAGCCAGCTGATATAGTGGTTTTAGAGGCTGAAATCAAGGAGGGGTCATCTCTTCAGTGACGCAAAATCACTTTTCAGAAGCACCTGTCACTCCAGCCACACACGTGGTGGAGGACAGGATTAATTAACATCTCCAGTGCGTGCAAAGGCAGGGGAAAGAAGCAAGCTGAAGGGTTATTCTTCATGTTTCGTTACTTTCGTGGAAGCAACAGCCTAGGAAAGAAGAGATGCAGCTAAAACTCCTGGTCTGTACAAGGAGGTAGAGTCCAAGGACCGCATGCCTCCTGAGGAGAATCAAGTGGAAGTGACTTGGTGCTGCCCCAGTAGAAATGGGAACTCTGGGCCAAGGTGAGACTGGGGTTAATCACTGGGCTAAATGGCACAGTGTGCATTTGGGGGTACAGGGACCCCCCCAGAAGAGCACCTGAATGTGGTGGGAACTGTTCGGGTCTGTCTCCTGGAGCACGCCCCACCCATGCAGTGCTGTGTGACCAAAACACAAGCTAAGGGACGAGAAACAGGCTACCCGGGCAGGCAGGTTTCTTGTCTCTGTGTGTGTGTGAAAACCTTCTCAATTAGAGCTTTGATCACAGACAAGAAATCTCCAATGTCAATCACATAACCATGGGACTTACACATGGTACAAGTAACCAGGGGGCTTATCTCCAGGGAGGAGGAGACCCCTGGTAGACTTGCAACCTGGATTCTCCATCTGTTTGAAGCCAACACACTTTGTATTTCTAGGTTCAAAAAATTCAGCTGAATATGCTGAGAAAATTGTGGACCCCTTCTCGCAAGACAAATCGTTTCAGAGAAGAAAGTTCATCCATCTAAAACAAAGAGTCCAGCCGCCCCTTTAACAAACCCTCGAGTCTCCAGGAAGAAAGAGATGAGTTGTCACGGGCCCAGTGCGCACGTCAAGGAAGTGATGCAGAAGTGAGGGTGCTTTGATCGTCAGCTATGCATGAGGCAGGAAGGGGCCACTCTCTTCAGTTGAGGAACAGAGAGAGAGACCTGCCAGATTCATATTGCCTACTTCAATGAAACAAAGGAGACTTCCAGGGTGAATGTAAAGTGCCAGAAGGTAAATATGTAAGTTTCAGGGCACTCAAAAAAATAAGTGATGCCCCTAGAATCTTAATATCTTGTACTTTACACATAAATCTAGAATTGCCTTTGGATTCAGTCCCAAACAATTTTTCATTTACAAAGACAACTTCGCAGTGGCGCCGAGCATGGGATACCTTTAGTTCTACGTCAGTCTCCGTCTTCCTGGGTCGGTCAGCTCTCTGCTGGCAATGCCTGCATTGGCGAGGGCTCACGTCCTGCTCCCTCAAGTTCCAAGGCTGCTGTTCTGTGCTCTCCAGCGGGGCAGCAACCCTCCTTTTTGCCTGGAAGCAGCATCTCTCAACTCGTTAAATATACACTTACATCAAAATGCCAAACCCCCAACAGATTTCTAATCACATACTCCCTTATTAAATCAGTGAAGACCTTGTAAGATGGACACTGAAGTCAGTGATCAAGTGGGTAAACAGAAATCCCAGAGAAATGCCAGAATAGGCAGAGATCTGAGAAGTTTAAGCTTCTCTAATAACATGAAAGGATCATTTTGAATATACTTACAGACCTGTCAGGACTAATGCAGCCAAGACACCAAAGGCTACAGTTCAAGTCTCTAGCAGCAATTTGTCTGCAAGGGGAAATGACGTGTGGGGATGGATATCACAGTCCAGGAGATCTTTAGCAAACATAGGCAATGCTTAAAGCATGCAGGGCCCTCTCACCCCAGTCACTTTCTATTCCAGAAGATGTGGTGAGGTGGCTGGAAAGAGAAGATGGAAGCAGACCTCGGGCCCAGGTAATGTACTCCCCACACTGGGATAAGAGAGGGCACCTCCGGGTGGCTCTGTCTCTCCTCTGTGGGGGAAGCCTGACCTGGGGTCCCAGGGGCCCCCGCACACTCAGCATGGCCCCAGGCTCACTCCCTCAACCAGGGTGCCCAGTCTGCCTCCCCTGCCCTGCTCTAAAGGGGAAGAAGGTCTGCTGAGCCAGTGGCTCCTGTGGCAGGGGTACAGGAGGCTGACCTGAAAGTCACGTGTGCTTGGAGAAGAGGAGCGTCAAGGTGGGATGGCTGAACTGTGAGCAGCTGGGAGAAACGAAGCCCTGTTTCTAGGAGACTCAGCATCGCTGAGCTGTACTTTGAGGTCAAACTGTCAGGTGGGAAAAGCAACCCAGAAGGCAAACTGGCCTTTCTCTTCAAACAGTGTGGCTTACTTGTCTACTCAGCCAAACAAACCAACCAAAACCCACCTCACTGTAGAGGTTAGCAAGAGATGAAGAGGCTTACAAGATGAAGAGACTTGCCCAACAGTCTGATAACCGAGTCAGTGGGGAGGCCCAGGAGGGTTAACTGTTTATCTCTGCCAACCTCCAGGTATCATCCCCACCATGCCTCTCTCATCAGCGAGGCAGGTGGTCATCCTCCTGACAGAGGGCTCAGGGAGCCAACGCGCAGCACAAGGGAACGGGAGGAGGCCCTGCCTGCTGAAAGGCGTAAGCTGTTCCACAGACGGCAGCCCAGAATTCACAGGTTCTTCCAAGGAAAGAGCCCCACGGAGATGGACACTTAGCCTGCAGCCTGCCTTGCTTCAAGACACCGCACGTGCAGTCAGGCTGTCAGCACAACCCACCTCACAAGGAGTCTGCTCCTGCCCTCTGCCCCTGGGGACCTGAGAGGTGGAGTGGCCGCGACCAGCCCAGGAGATGGGAGACGCAGGGGGAGGAGGAGATGGAGGGAGAGAGGAGGGAGCAAAGGGAGAGTGAAAAGCAGAGAGTCCACCAGGAGAGAAGAGATGGGAGGCCAAGCTTAACTCAAGAAGAGGGAGGGGTCAGGAGGAGGAGAAGAGCCCCTAGGATGATGAGAAGGAGGGGCGGCGGCGAGGCCGCCCGGCCTCACTTCCCGTGCAAGTCACTTAGCTCTACGTCCTCCTTCCGGCGCTTATGGGCGAGGAGGGAGGGGACCGGGTAGAGCTTGGCCTTCGCCTGGAACCGGTGTCCCGCAATGTCGATCTCATATTCTCCCCGGTTGATGAAATCCGCTGTCACCACCTGCTCCTCCCCCGCGTCCTCGGAGAAGTTGTGCACGAAGCCCAGACACACGTGGCGCTCCAGGGTGTAGCCGTAGGCGCTGCTGGTCGTCTTGCCCACGTACTGCCCGTTCCGGTAAATGGGCTCCCCCCACCACGGCCAGAGGTCTAGGTCTGTGTCGTGGTCGTCCAGGATGAACATGGTGAGGCGCTTGTACACCCCGTTCTGCCTCTGCTGTAGCAGCGCGTCGCGCCCGATGAAATCCACGCCCTAGGAAAGAGAGGCGGCGCTCAGACGGTTAGGACCCTGGCGTCACCGCGGTGGTCCGCCCTCCCCTCCTCCCCCCGCACGCTCTGGAGAACGCGGCTTCCCACTGGGCAGAAAACTGCGTTCCCAACACCAGACACCTTCAGAGGATCCTTATAACAGCACAGGTACACATCGTTCTGTTTTATAAACTCATTTCAGTCAGAAGACGACCACACAGAACAGAACAGACAGAGAAATCTACACTTAAAAGTGCCTGTTCGAACTACTTTAGAAAAGCAATGTTTTTATAGAATCTCAACAAAAAGTCCATTTATATCAGTATGTGTATATATATATTTATGCATATGTACAAAAAAGCAGAATAAAGTAAACTTTTTTAAACTTTTCCTTTTATATTGGAATATGGCCAATTAATATATTGGAATATAATATTCCAATTATTTGGAATTGGAATATTATATTCCAATTAATTGGGATATATTAATTAATTAGCCAATTAATTGGGATATAGCCAATTGCAGTCTCTTGGACTGCAAGATCAAACCACTGCATCCTAAACGAAATCAGTCCTGAATATTCACTGAAGGACTGATGCTGAAGCTCCAACACTTTGGCCACCTGATGCGAAGAACTGACTGCAAAAGACCCTGATGCTGGGAGGGATTGGGGGCAGGAGGAGAAGGGGACGAGAGAGGATGAGATGGCTGGATGGCATCACCAACTCAATGGACATGAGTCTGAGTAAACTCTGGGTACTGGTGATGGACAGGGAGGCGTGGCGTGCTGTAGTCCGTGGGGTCACAAAAAGTCGGACACGACTGAGTGACTGGACTGAACTGAACTGAGAGCCAGTTAACAATGTTGTGATAGTTCCAGGTGAACAGTGAAGGGACACAGCCATATATATGTATCCATATATAGGTCCATATATGTATCCATCCCCCAAACTCCCCCACCAGGCTGCCACATAAAACTGAGCAGTGCCCGGGGCTGTACAGTAAGTCCTTGTTGGTTATCTGTTTTAAATATAGCAGTGTGTTCATGTCCATCCCAAACTCCCCAACTATCCCTTCCCCTCATTCTTCCCTAAAACAAACTTAACAGTGATTGTCTCGGAAAAAAATGAGTGATTTTAATTCTGTTTTTTCCTATTTTCCAAACTGAGTATTCTTTACTTTTATATCAGAGAAAAATACTTATCTAATCACTCAAAAAGAGCAGCAGAGATCTACTATGTTGGTTGGCAGAGAATGACTGCTAAGAGATTTTGTTAAGTGAAAAAAGGTGTGTGTTGTGCCCAAGCACCACAGTCAGGAAAGCAGTGGAGGGAGAGCCCTCTGTGCGCCCTGCACGGACGCTAAAGGAGACGGGGCACTGGCGCCTCTGGGCAAGCTGCCAGGAGGGCTGGGTGGGCTCAGGGGGGGAAAGGCTGCTTATCCTCTAAAATGCTGACTTAAAAAAGCATTTTCATATATTAATTTTGAAACAAAAATAATTAGGAAGTTGAGCGTGACTCATTTGTACACGTTTGTGGCAGGTTAATGAATCGCCATAACCAACTCTGAAAGACCGCCCAGAGGCACTCAGTCTAAGCAGAGCGAGTGCCCCAAACACGTGTCCACTCGCTGTGCTCCTCAGTCCGTGTTTTATCCCAGACGTCCTGAGGCCTCGACCCCTGTACGCCCTCCTGTTCTCCTGCGGGCTCCCTGCTTGGAGAGTTGGGAGTGGAGTGTGCACACCAGTACAATACCTTGTCTAACTTCACCCGAGACTCTCCTCCACATTCCAGGGGGGTGGTTAGGGTGTTTAAGTCCTGACCCCAGAAGGCAAAAAACTTCTCAATTCGGAGACTACGAAGAGCATAATACCCAGCATTCCGGATTCCGTATTTCTGCCCCACGCTCATCACTTCGTTGTATACGTGCAGGGCGTACTAGAGGGAGAGATGAGAGGTCAGTGGTGAGCAGACCTTCAGCACTGAACATGGCGCGCGGCCGGCTGTCCCTGCTACCTGGACAGGGCAGGAGGTTGGCCATAATCCTCAGGAGCCCAAGTGCCACAGCCCAGACTTAAGCTCCAGGAAAGCAGCACCTGTTTCTTCACATCTCTAGAATGTCTAGGATCTAAGTACATAGCAGCACGACATAACTCACAGAAGCTCTCTTACCACTGAGCAAACGATCAGTCTCGTCACCGCCTCTCTGACAGCCACGCACCCTCCCCGCCGTGTTCTTCTGCCCCTGCTCCCCAACCCTGGTCCTGACCCCATGCACTGGCCTGTGCTGTGAAGCTAGTGTTGCACGTAACTCTAGGCGTGCAGGCACAACTGTGACCTGTCACAGCAATGCGGCATCTTAGCCCTGGAGCAGGTCACAGAGGACCCCAGAAAGCAGAGCCCTCCCCCCACATCCCGCAGCATCCAGTCTCTCACACTGCTTTGTTTTTGGTTCCAGACATGTTTACGTACCAGATAACTTAAGTAAGCAGAAAGTTTTCCAACTTAAATGAGCAGAAAGTTTTCCAAATTGAAAGCAAATAATCTAAACATACTATGTTAAGCCTAAAGCCCAACAACAACTATACTGTTTACTTTAAAAACTGTAACTCAGAGAAAACAAGACAGAGGAATGAGAAAGACAGATGTTATATAATCCACACTCACGTGTGGAATTGTTAAAAACAAACAAACCCAAAATAGCATCCAAACTCATAGAACAAGAGACCAGATTGGTTACTGGTAGGTTGAGGGGTGAGGACTGGAGGAAGGTGGTCAAAAGGTACAAACTTCCTTGTAAGGTAAGCACTAGGGATGCAGTGAACATGTGACTAAACTGACACTGCTGTGTGATACATACGACAGTTAAGAGTAAATCCTGAGAGGAGTTATCACAGGAAAAAAAAGTTTTTTCCTTTTTATTGAAACTGTATGAGATAGTGGATGCTAACCAAGTCTATGTAAGTCAATCCATTATACTGTCCACCTTAATCTTACACAATGATGTATATAAATTACATCTGAATATAACCGGAGGGAAAAAGAAAAAGCAGCTTCATTGGTACTGCAATTCTTTAATGTATATGGCTCTATGGACCGTACTACTGCAGCCAAACAGGCCTCAACTAAACAGAACAATGTGGTCAAGATGATTTTGGATGTGGAAAAGGCAGTCTGAGCCTGTGGATGTGTGTAAGTGAAACACTGGAGATGGCAGAGCGAGTGGAGGAGACCAGTGGGGACTGGCTGGGCAAGGAGAGTGAAAATGAGCTGCATCTCAGGCAGGTTCAGGGTCTCAAGCTGAATGCTTTGTGTCTGAGTTAAGAGGGAGACAGAGGAGGAAAGATCGAAAGCAAGTTCCTAGTCTTGGGCTAGAGAAGACGAGCAAAGGGAAAAGTGGGTCCCCACCATTTACTCACTTTCTCACTAAATGCCAGGGATTAAGGGCAAACAAACAATCTGCCATCTGCCACCATGCTTTTGGAAGCCATCTCCTCTAAGAGACAGATATAACCTTCTGGGGACAAAAACCAGCCTGAAAAGAACCGAAGCAGTGCACAAATTACCTCTATGGAAAACATAAGTAAGAATGGGACCAGCCCAAGAAGATCAGGTAGGAAACAGGGCTTCCTCCTCCTGATGGGCTTTGCTGATTAATGACCCGGGAGCGGGTGGTACCACCTCAGTGATCATATTCACAGCTGATCCCCTGTCAGTATGGGCAAAATGTATCAACTATATGCATATCAGCTCTTCTCAAATCATAACATTTGAGTGTGAAAAAGCAGATGAAATTTCACGGGATGGTAAATCCATGCTTCATTTAATAATTAAAAGGAAACCTAACACCATGAGTAACATATCTGATGTCAAGAATGTGAGGATGCTGACGATCACTACTACTTGTCACAACTGGACGCAGGAAAGAAAATGCAAGAATAAAAATTGTTAAGAAACAAGAAAAATGATTATTATTTGTATATGGTAAGACTGAACTCTGGAAATTCCAGAGAAACAACTAAAAAACAGCTATAAACAGTAAGACAGTTTAGGAAGGAAACAGGTTAAAGCATTAATAAACAGAAGAAAAAAGCTTTTAGAAATCATAATCACCTAGAAGATACTAAAATAAAGATACCCTTCCTATTAACAATAGCAACACCACCAAAATAGTATTCATATGAATTTATAACATTTACATGAGAAAAACTTCAAAATACCTCTGAAGGTCATACACACACACACAAACCCAAATAAAAAAGGTACATTCTGATTGTAATATTCAACACATGTAAGAATGTCAATTCTTCCTAACTGACAAACGTAACACAACCCAAAAGATCAGGCTGTTTTTAACTAGATGATTATAAATGTTTATGAGGGAGCATAAGGAAATAGGAATTATTTTCCAGAGTCTTCTAAGTTGTGAGGGAGGATAAGCATTACCAAGTACTAAAATAAACAATAAAGACTCAATAATTAAGATAATGTGGTCCTGGATAAACAGAACAGAATACAGAAATTTAATAACCCTGCCATCAGCAAACCTGTATTTAAAACAGGTAATCTGTTGAACAAAATAAAAAAAATATATATTCTGAGAGACACTGGTAAACACCCTGAAGAAAAAACAGAGAAGGGTCTAGGGAGGAGGGGGCTGGTGGCTGCAGCTTTAAGGAAGGTCTCATCAAGAAGGCGAGGCGTGACCAGGTGTGGATGGACTGCCAAGGAGAGCGGGAGGGCTGGCGGTAAGGCCCCGAGGCTTCCAGGCACTGGTCCAGCAGGGAGCGAAGGGCCGGGAGCGAGAGGCAGGAAGACATGTGATTAGGAGCAGCAGCGAGAAGGGCAGGGGGCAGGCGGAGCTGTGCAGGCCTGCAGACAGGCTTTTACTCAGAGGGGGCTGGGTTTTGAAAAGCAGCTCAATCTCTTGCATAAAACTGCATGGACAAACTGCTTTGCACCCATCAGCCCAAAGCGTGACAAGCCTGTGCTGGTAACGAGCAATAAAGAAAAAGGTACTCTTGTTCACTGCACAACTTTTTATAACAGCCAAGGACGAGAAACCCTGTAAATGTCTATTAATAGTAGACTAGTTAAACTATGATTCAGGGCCTTCCCTGGGGGTCCTAGGACTCTGCACTCCCAACACAGGAGGCCTGGGTTCCATCCCTGGTCAGAGAATGTGCAGCAACAAAGACTGAAGATCCCATATGTTGCAACTAAGACCCAGCACAGCCAAATAAATATTTTTTTTAAATAAATAATTCAAGTATATAATGGAATACTGTAGCACTTTAATTAAAAAATGAAGAAAGAAAGGAAAAGGAAGCTCTTTCTTAGGTTCTAGCAGGGAAAGATCTGTAAACTGTTCAGTAAAACAATCAACATGAAGAAATGCAGTATGCTTCCACCAGTTTCTATAAAGGCGGTTGTGAAGATGTCTTTGAACTTGCTTCCATACGTACAAAACTCTGATGTGATATAAACTAACAATTGTATCACTGCTGGTGGCTCGTGAGAACTGGTCAGTGGCACTGAACACATTTTAGAGATGTTTAATTTTAGACCATGTAAGTGGTCTAGACCTACAGAAAACAGTACGCAACTCAGCTAAAAATGTCACACCCTCTGTCACGCGCCTTGCCCCCGCCCGAGGTGCTCACCTCTATGGGGATGTAGAGCATGAACCCTGGCTCGCCCGTGTGCGTCATGCTCATCACCCGGATCCCGTTGGCGTAGCCCACGCTCATCTCCTGTGGAGACCAAGGGAGCGGGTCACCACGGAGGTGTCAGAGGAGTGAAGGTCTTGGGAGCCCTCTCATTAGCTCTGCACCCTCCCTGCGTCTGACCCTGAAGGAGACAGACACATGTGAATGAAGAATTTCTTCCCTGATGGTCTGTTTCCAGGCATTGGGGTCACCAGGCAGAGCCCAGCCTCCCAACGCCCAGCTCAGGAGAGCCAGCCCAGCCGCTGGGGGAGTGGAGGCAGTGTTTGACAAGCAGGAAACACTTCTCTCCACAAAGTCCTGCTGAAGATCTGCCACAGTTTCAGTCAGGACGTCAGGAGCCATGAAGAGTAGGCAAACATTCCCTTGTGGACCTGGCAGGCCAGCCCTGGGCACCTGCCCCAGAGAAGACGCTGGTTCACCTGCTACCCCAGGGGCAGACACTGGGCTCCCCATGTTCTGAACACATTTCCAGCAGCTTGTGAGCCAAAAGGGCCTCTGAGTCAATGGCACTCTGCGGCGGGGTGTGGGGAGCCCCCTGAGGCCCCAGCAGGCCGCCGCCGTGAGGAGCAGGTCGGGGCAGTGTGCTGCAGGCACAGGGGTGTGGGGCAAGCCTCTCCTCTGAGCAAACACAGGGCTCTGACAGGGCCGGCCGGCAGCTCACAGAGCTTTCTGCTGCTTTAACTGCGCCACAGAGACGAGAGGACTGTGAGCTCACTTAGGAGGAGGATCCTAACTTCAGTGTGAACTTCAAAGGGCACCGCCTCAGGAACGGTCCCAGAGCTGCCTGTGACAGCTGCCAAAACGCCCGTCTGCCCCAGAGTGCGGCTGTCCTTCCTTTTACTCAGCTGCACTTTGTTTCACTCAGACCTAGCGGCCAATTGTAAGAAAGAAAACTACGTATGTTGTTGAGGGATTCACCTAGCCATTTCCTATCTGAAGGGGCCACCTACACAGAAGTTACTTCGTGTGTGGAAAGGAGGAAGCTCTGCATGGAGGGAAGGGGCCTGACCTTGGCTGGCGTTTTTTGGCATTAGTGTCATAATATTAAAAACATAAAAATATAATCCACTGCTACAGAAAGCAATGGGCTTCCCTGACAGATCAGTTGGTAAAGAATCTGCCTGCAATGAAGGAGACCCCCTTTTGATTCCTGGGTCGGGAAGATCCCCTGGAGAAGGGAAAGGCTACCCACTCCAGTATTCTGGCCTGGAGTATTCCATGGACTGTACAGTCCATGGGGTTGCAAAGAGTCGGACACGATTGAGCGACTTTCACTTTCACAGAAAGCAATAAACATATAGAACCAATATGGAGAAAAGTTAGGTCCACTTTAAAGATATCAATGTTTATTAAAAAAGAATGTGAAGAAAGGAAAATAGTGGATTTACTCATTTTGTTTGCTTAATGAGCATAAGAACACACTCTGTGGATGTTAACACCTTAATGAGAACATGTAATTGCCATCTCTGTACAAGCACATTCCCTGCTTATTTAAAAACTACAAGTTTCCCAGTACTCACCTTGCAAAACAGACTTGGGAAGTGGTCTGGAGTCATGGGGGCGTAGGACAACTCAGACAGCACATCCACAGCGCGAGGACCAATCAGGTTGAGGGCTAAAGGGGAAAGAGCAGGATATGTCTGGCTGCTCCAGGTGGACGGCTGAGCCAATCGAGAAGGTCTGTTCTGGACTTGCTCACCTATGGCCGGGTCTGGGTGGCAAGACCATGAAAACCTTCCTGTGTTCAGGCAGTCCTAGGATGCACCTAGATTCTGGCAAACACACTTCTCCTGACAAGGCTGCCAAGTGCTGCCACTGACTCCTGGTATGTGAGAGCCTGGCTAGCTGTGGCCTCTTCCTGGGTACAAAGGAAGACGAGACTCTACAGCCTCCTCTGTAGCGAGACCAGGAGCATGAGGCCAGAGGATGGGAGCCCACTCCCAGGGCTGGCCCTGAACACCCACACAGGTCCCGCTCTCCTCCTCTTCCCAGTGCAGCTGCGTGATGGAAAGCCCCAAACACAAATCAGTAACAGGAGAGCCCCGAGGAGAGCTGCCCCCTAGCTGGGATCTGTGACAGCAGCTGAGCACATCACACATCAGATACCCTCAGATGGACTGGAAAACAGCCTGGCTTCTGTAAGCTTCTACAGTATTCCAATCTGGTAGTAAGAAGGCCATCATATTTGCTACGATGATGTCAGTACACTGAGGGTCTGGTGGAGGCGAGGCAAGGGTCCTTTAAGTGAGAAGCAGGGAGGGGTTAAAGCTGGAATTAGGGGGCAGAAGAGAAAGGGCTACTCCTTGAGAGGACTGCTGAGGGGTAGATAATCGGGAAATAAGTTAACTATCCTTAATAAGTATTTACTTACTAAAAAAAAAAAACTAAGGGGAAATTGTGATGAAAACAATACTTACATAATGAATTAAAATAATTTAATAATGAGTCATGCGTTAATTCAACAAATATTTGTACTCTCATACGCTGACTGTAGGGGATACAGCAGTAAACACACAAACAGAGAAGCAATAACTCATCCCACACTCCACTTATAACATGTGGGACTGATTGGCTATGACCAGGAGCCTCTTACAAGATGCTAATTCTGACACTCCTGAACATCAGATATGAAGAAGGCAAATGGAGAAGACAAACCTGGATCACTGGGCCAGCTGACCCCCGAGGGCCCCCTGACCCTGAAGGGCCCTTACCAGTGTATTTCCAGGTGACGTCCTCCAGAATCAGGTTGCTGTCTTCTGGCATGTACTTCTTAAGCCAAGCCCAACAATGGACCTGCTGGTCGGTTGGAGAAATCATGAAGAAACTGAAAGTGAGACCAGAAGTAATCAAAACCAGGCAGCAGAAAAATGATCAGGAAGCAGTCGGCTCTCAGCTAGAGTCAAAGCAACGGACAGAATGTGGCCAATGGTCTCATAGCTTTCAGGGAAGGACCCAAGAGTACATCCTTCTAGGACACACCACATCAGGACAAAGCAAGGTTCTGGCATCCTGCTAGTGCCGAGAAATCATACAGCCTACTAATGTAAGATGAGGCACCTTCTCCAAGTAGAATAACTAAAATTCCACACTAGGTTTTACATAATCTGGTGCCTTTTTTCCCCTCCTCATTGGGGGGTGGGGTGGGGGGTGTGTATGCATGCCCATGCACAGGCGCTGCTGATGAACTGGCCATGCATTAATGAAATGTTTTTTGTTCTCAGTGTTATTAACGGTGTCCTGCAGGAGTGGCCATGCTGTCTAGGGCCCGCGTGAGGAGGGAGTGGGGTGGCGCCTGGCTCACCTGCGCTTGCTCAGCCGGGCTATGCTGCAGTCGTTTTCGTATCCGCCACGCTCGTTGAGCATGCCGGTATGCACGATGTGGCCCACGGGCACATCAAGGTCGTTGGAGAAGAGGTACTGAAGAATTTCTAATGCCTGATCCCCGGTGGACTGTAGGGTTAGGGAATGAAACAGAGATAACAGATGTAAGAACCTCTGGCTGGCAATGCGGCCTGACATGGAAGGTCACTTGCTGAGAAAATTCAACTAGCTGGTACTCATACAACAATCCCTGCAGATTTACTCCACTGCAAGGAGCTCGGGGAAGCTAGCTGCTGACTCCAGTGTCAGACGGGCCTCTGCAGGCAGAGAAAGCCCCAGACACAAAGAGCTAAAAGTTCCAGAAATGTCGTGATTCAGTTGACACAGTAAACTACACCAGAGTTCTTACAGAATCAGTTCTGAAGCGATGGATGAAAAACAAGAGGCATGCAATAAACAGGCACGCTTCCAAGTCTGTTATTTCGGTTCTCCAATACTTACTGTTATTTCAAACTTTGTGAAAGAGGACATGTCAATGACACACACGGCTTCCTTACAGCACTTGACTTCGGACTCCACAATCTCAAACCAGTCTGGCTTGTAGAAAGTCTTGCTCTGCTCCAAGGCCAGAAGGTCTACAGAACAGAGAAAACCAAAGGAAGACAGAAAAGGAGGGGATTTGTCCTGGTGAGTTTCCTTGATAGCTTAGGACAGTGTAATAGGTTTTTATTATTTATTCTCCCAGGAATACAGTCAAGCTATACGCATTTAAAAAATAAGGTTTAGGACTTCCCTAGTGGCCCAGTGGTTAAGAATCTGCCTGTCAGTAAGGGGACACAGGCTTGATTCCTGATCCAGGAAGATCCCACATGCCATGGAGCAACTAAACCTGTGCACACAACTCCCGGAGCCCGCGTGCCCTAGAGCCCATGCTCTGCAACGAGACCCCCGTGCACCACAGCCGGAGCGCGGCCCCGCGGACCACAGCTGAGAGAGCCATGCTCAGCAACAGAGACCCAGCACAGCCAAAAATAAATAACTTAAAACAACCAGACCAAGATTTATTATTCTTAGGACAAAAAGAACAAATATGAGAACGTGCCTTCTTACCCTTGTCTGGTGGCACGAAGTACTTTGGCCTCTCGAATCCATGTTTCTCCATCCACCTGGCTCCCTGCGCGTCCAGCCGGTCATAGAGAGGAGAGGTGCGTAACTGCCTTCCAGTCTGGAAGTCCCAACGGGGAACCTTCAGGTCATAGAGCAGAGCTAGGGACGGAAGAGCAGGCCATGAGAGTCCAAGCCACAGAGCTGAGCACCCACATCCACGAGACTCTGGAGTTGCTTCCATTCAAAAGAGCATGCTTTTCAGGCTGCCGTAGCCCAATTTCCCGACAGCACCTAGTGTGACAGGAATGGTCCAGGAGAAAGGACCGCATTGTAAGAGCTGGTGTCGCCCCTCCACAGAATTATACAGCTGTGAGTCACGTTACGACTCCAGGTCTTTGTTTATAATTACTTTTAAACTAGCAGGTAGAAACAATGGGAGAAAGAGTTCTAAACCTTGCTGAGCTCCCAGCAGAGATGAAGGTCGCATCTACACAGGACACAGGAGGTTACACAGTGTGAAAAACTGGCACCTGCTTCTTTCCAGGGCCTGTGTTGTTGGAGTCAGACCTGTCACACACTTGCCCTAGTATTTAACCATTTCTGAAGCAAAAGGGCACACAGCGTACTTGATATGGTAGCTCTGGAACCTGACAGGTTGCACAGTATTGTCCCAGTGACATTTTTACATAACAAAGCTAGGGGCAGAATTCACTTCTCCTAATGTCCAATCTGCAACAGGAAAAAGTAAAAATATCCAGAAACAGTATGATCTCTAGTCTCTTCCAGAGAGAAGATGACTTCACACTAGGCCAAACAAGAGGTGCTTCGCTGAGGCAGAAGCAAGCCGTGCTGGCCTCTCTGAGCTGTCCAGATCTGTTCTGGGCTTTAGGTTCTACCTTCCAATTCCCCATTTTCTGTCATGCCTGAAACTTCCAACTCATGAGAATCAGAGAAGGGCCCCAAAAGTCATCAAGAAGCTCAAGCTTCATTACGATTCTCACAGAAAATAAAAAATCTTGGCAGTCACACGTACTGCTACCAGCCCGTGCACCACAACCACCAAAGCCCGTGTGGCCTGGAGTCTGTGCTCCGCAAAAAGAGAAGCCACTGCAGCGAGAAGCCTGCACGCCACAGCAGAGCAGCCCTCCCCGCCGTAGCAGAAAAGCCCGCACGCGGCGCCGAAGACCCAGCCGAAAATGAACAACTATATACATATACGTTCTAGAGCTATCTCTAAAGGGCTCACCGGGCAATAAAAAGCCAAGACAAGGTACCAGTCCTTCGAAGTCAGGAGCAAAAACAAAGAGGAAGCAGGAACGCATGTCTGGCATTTACATGAGGAGTGGTTTCCTATCTGGTGAGCACATGGTGGGTTAATGGTGAGAGTCACTGATGCTCTGAGACTAACGTGGCACATCCTCTGCCTTGGAAAGCAAACCATGACCTCAAAGACCAAGTGGGGAGTGCGAGCATTCACTGTGACACAGCAAGGTGAAAAGAAGGCAGTGACAAGGATGTCCAAGACGCTGCTGCTACGAGTCTGACAGGAGTGGCCCCATGCGCCCCAGTCCACTTCCTGGTCGCGGAGGTAAGTCCTGCGCAGCACACTAAACAAAACAGTTCACGCGTGCCATGGGCGTGATGCCCCCATCACAGGCCTGAGACAGGCGAGACTTGACGAGGTTACTGAAGAGCCGAGGACGGCTCTGCCCCGGGGAGACGGAGCCAGTCAGACTCGGGCAGAGAGGAACAGCGGGGACACAACTTCACTCACGCATGACCTCCATGACACGGTGGCGCAGGAAGGTTCGGCTGCTCTGGAGGGCTCCGAACCGCTTCAGGTCCAGCTCCCAGACGCTTTCTGACGGGTAGCCGTGCACCATCCACTCGGCGAGGTACCTGCGTAAAGGGGGAAGTTGCCAGGCCTCTCAGCGCCGTGACATGCTCAGTGCTGCACTAGGAATCCAGCACCAACAGGATCCAAAGACCCTGTCTTGTCAAGACTGGCTGAGTGATCCTCTAATTTCCTTAACTTCTGGAAGAAGCAAATGAGATCCATCTACTGCTCTCACAAGACCACCATGAGGACATGAGCACTCATGGTAAGGCTGCCTGGGAAGTATTAGGGCATGGCAACCCACTCCAGTATTCTTGCCTGGGAAATCCCACCAACAGAAGAGCCTGGTGGGCGACAGTCTATAGAGTCGCAGAGTCACCCATGACTGAAGTGACTTAGTACTCACGCATGAAGAAATAAGACTAAAATAAACATACAAATATACTCTATATATTTTGATTTTTTTTTTTCCTGTAAAACAGTCACCTCAGGAGGAGGTTATACAGTTATATGGCTGTATCACCTTTGCTCCAAACATTTTTGGTAACTTCTAATCCATAACTGTCTTTAGAGCCATTCTATGGTTCACCCAAGTATACTTACTGGTCAGTTAATTAAAAATTTTAAAAAATTGTGGTAAAATACAGACAATATGAAATTTACCATCTTAACCATTTACAAGTATATACATCAGGGATGTTAAGTATTTTCACACTGCCTGTAATGATCACCACCATTCGCCTCCAGAATTCTTTTCACTTCCCAAACAAACTATATCCAGTAAACAGAGACCACCCCCTGCACCCCTGTCCCCTGGAAACCACCATTCTGTGTTGTCTCTAGGAGCTGAACTACTCTTGTGTATTCACATAGGTGGAATTTTATAGTATTGTCCTTTTGACACTGGCTTTATTTTTATTAGTACCAAACTTTAAAATAAAAACTTATGTGATCAGCACGATCTTCTACTCTACTCATCATCTCTACTTCCAAACTCAAATAAACACATTCAAAAGACCAACATTTGTTACGACTGAAGTAGTACAGACGTACATCCCACTGGTTCCCAGGCTAACTCCAAAAGGGGGGTTCCAAACACATTCTGTACAGTGACGTGCCTGGAGTGGGGGTGAGTACCTTTAAGGGGACAGCTCTCTGCAGACACGAGTCGCCCGCTTACTACGAATGTGCTGGACTAAGTACATCACAGACCATGTGAACAAGAAGAAAGGAGGAAGCCCAGTAAGCCGAGTGGGAGTGGGAAGGACTTACTTTCCAGCTCCTCCACCAAACGAAAGGCCTGCAGAGTTCATTCCCACCAGGACGAAGTAGCCCCGCACCGAGGGAGACTCGCCCATGATGCACCTCATGTCTGGGGTGAAGGTCTCAGGGCAGTTCACCAACTTCACGATCTCCAGAGTCTCCAGCTGTGGCATCCGACGAAGCAGGGAACTCAGCAGGGGCTCTGAGCGACACAACAGACCCAAACCCAGTCCTCAGCTTGAGGGGACTCAAAACTGCCTTCCCCTACACGCCTCGCCTCCCGCTCCTTTCCCAAAGTGTCTTGGGGAGGTTTTCTGAGATGAGCCAACTGGGCCATCTATCAGAAGCAGAAACCTTGGTGGAATTACGGGACAACCCTACAAAGTTCTTGTTGTAAAGACAGAGAAAAAAAGATATTTTGTAGAAAGGAAAGTTGATATGGAAGAGCAGATACTATGTGTGGCTTAAAATAAAATCTCACAGGCATCAGTGGTAGGACAAGAAATCTTAATTAAAAGGCCCCCAATGAGATACGTGATAAAAGGCAGTGTTTTCCTATGTTCTAGCAGCTGTGAAAGACAGATCCTCAGCTTGTTTTAAGGTCAGTCCATCACCCGGGAAAGATCCAGTGGGACAGGGATCAAGATGAAGACAGACTGAAGCCAGCTGGCAGGGACATGAAACATCTGTATGTTATTCTCTTCACTTGTGAAAGTCTGAAATTTTCCCAAATTAAGGGAAAAAAAATTAAGTTCAAGTGGAAGAAAGGACACTCTTCATGACAGACCCTTTCATACCTTTTGAATTTGGAATTACATGATTATATTCCCTATTAAATAAATTAAAATTATTTAAAAATTGAGTAAAAGAACATATTAACAATTTCGCTTTTAAAAATTCTCTTCCATCTTAAATGAAGTGCTATCAAAAGACAGTTCCCCCCCCAACAAAAAAAAGTAGGTTTCCTCCTAGCCTAAAATTTCAGCAATGAGTTTAGGCAAAAAAGTGAGAAGGCAAAATTAATCAAGATTTTAATTTTAGGTCTCTGAATCGGCTTGCCAATAACTGTATCCTTAGACCAGACAACCTCTGTGGACAAGCAAATGGGGTTGTTACAAAGATCAAGTAAGGAACCACAGGTATACCTAGATTTGGTTCCAGACTACTGTAATAAAGTGAATACTGCAACATAGTGAGTTATGTGAATGTTTTGGTTCCCTCAGCACATATAAAAATTACATTACAGTGCATATAAAAATTATATTGTATTATATGTTCAATAGAATTATGTCTAAAAAACCAATGGACAGGATATTCCTTGGGAGTTCAGTGGTTAGGACTCCACACTTTCACTGGTGTATGCATGGAGTTCAATAGCTGGTCAGGAAATTAAAATCCTGCAAGCCTTGTGGGGAAAAGAACACCAAAAACAAAAAAAGCAAAAACAATACCAATATACATACCAAAAAATGTAAATTAAAAAATACTTGGCCAGATATACAAGCAACCTAAGTGTCCATCAACAGATGTGGTAAATACATACAATGGACTGCTATTCAGCTATTAAAAATTTTTTTTGCTACTTGCAACAACATGGACAGACTTGAAAGGTATTATGTTTAGTGAAATGAGTCAGAGAAAGACAAATACTGTATGTTATCACCTATATGTGGAATCTAAAAAGAAAAGAAACTAGTGAAATATAACAGAAAAGAATCGGATACAGACTTGTGGTTATCAGTGGGAGAGGGAAGTGGGAAGGGACGAAATAAGGGGAGGGGGTATAGAGGTACAAAGTACTATGTATGAAATAAATAAGCTACAAGGATGTATTGTACAACACAGAATATAGTATTTCATAACTATTAATGGAATATAACCTTTAAAAATTGAGAACTGCTATATTGTTTGTACACATGAAACTTGTATATTGTACATCAATTTTATCTCAAAAAAACCATTAAAAACAATTTCCACTCAGACTTCAGTATGTTATTAAAACTATAAAAAGGTAAAGAAAACCTTACTGCTAAAATATGCTATTATCCGAACCTTCAGAGAATCCTATCTTTTGCAATAGATAGATCACCGATACAACAGATAGATCATTAATACAATAGATAGATCACTGAAAAAATACACAGATCACAAATCACAGATGCAATAACACACATAACAGTGAAAAAGTCTGAAGTATTACTGTAATTACCAAAATTCAAGAGATGCAAAGTCAGAAAATGCTGTTGGAAAATGGTGCCAATAGACTTGTTCAGTGCAGCGTTTGCCACAAACCTTCAATTTATAAAAACAACTCAGTATCTGCGAAGCACAATAAAATGAGATATGCCTGTGTTCCTGAAAAGGCTTTAATGTATAACATCTTAGACAAATATAAGGCACTCATGTTAATATCTAGTTTACATACCAAAATGATCCCAGTCTTCCTGCAGATTCTGAATCTCCAGCTGGTTCTTGCCCTCCGTGAAAATTGGCTTTGGGTTTTTCTCAAAGCCCCCTGACAGGATGCCCCCCTGCCAGTTCCGAATGTAAATTCTTCCATCAGCATCTACAACAGCTGAGACAGAAAGTGACAAAGCGGGTGGGGAGCAGAAGAGAACGCGGGGTTTAGAGGCAAGCCAGCTGTTACATGGGCAGAGAAAGAAGCTAAACAAAAACACCTAGAACTGCCCTCATTAACCAGGCAGCGTACAGTAAACACAAGCATTCACTGGCTTTAAAATGCTTTCCCCGGTCATGGGTGAGGGTGCTCCTTCCAGATTTACTGTGGAGTCTGTTTTTCAGATTACCCTATACCAATCACTTACCTAGAAACTTTTGACTAGTCTTAAAACCAAGCCACTGTGCCACATGGAAGCCTGACACAGGGGCTGCAGAGCCCACTGCAGGGATGAAGGCCTCCAAGTGGTATCGAACCCTCCCTGCGGCGCTGGGAGTCACTGAACAGCCCGAGTTTAGAGCTCGCCTGTGACATCTCCACAATGGGTAGCATTATGTCAGCTCTAGGTTACACTCCAAACATGTGCAATCTACTCTGTCTGGGACTACAGTTAGCTTGCAAACAAAGAAACAAACCTGCTCAAACAGCATGCCCACTGTGGCCATCCTTTCATAAAGAGACATTCAAGTCAAGTTAGAACGGGGTCTACCTCCTTGTAACATGCTCCAGAAAAGAAGTGAAAAGACTCTCTGGGTGCAGTCTGTCCTCAGCAGAAAGCCCTTCTTGGCAGAGGACAGAACAGGGGTGAGGAGACAAGAGTAAAAAAAGGCGCAAGTCCTCACTTGGTGTGCTGCTCGGCAGAGGGGTCTCCCAGGGGCGAGTCAGGAGGTAGAAGTGTTCGCAGGCATGCAACGGGATACTGACCGGCTCCTCGCTGCACAGACCGAGCTCGTATGCCCACTATAGATGGACAGAGGGATGGGTGGGGGGAGAGGAACAAAAAGACACGTGAGCAGGTGTAGGCTCTTGAGACGAGTGCCATTTCAAGCGGCTCCTGGATGCTCCCGCCCCCACGTCAGCTGTGGGAAGCCAACTTCTAGCTTTAGTTCCTAACATTTTCAGAGGGGACCAACATAGTACCGGGTGAGCCACGAAGTCTGCTTTCTGAGCAGAGAAGACAGAGTCACCAGCTCGGAAGAGGAGCTCGTGGGGAGCGAGTGAGGCCCTTTGAACGAAACGCCAGGCCTCAACTGCGAACCCCAAACACCGACCATGAAGACGTCCACATGGCAGAAAGTACTCCCAGGTGCCCTTAAGACTGTGGAGGGGGGCAAGGGACCAACCTGCCGTCAGAGCTGCAGGCTTTAGTGTCCTGGACACGGGACCCACGCTCCCGACACAGGAGCACCCCCAACGCGCATCTGCTGGTGGTGGGATGACATGAACCACCACACAGCCCCGACCAGGGACCGGGTGCTGTCCACGCTGACTCTCTGGGCCTCCCTGAGCAGGGCTGCCCCTCGGCCGGGAAGGAGCAGGGATGGTTGACCGACTTCCACACGAGGGGTGAGGGCAGGCTTCCCGTTTGGAGGGGGGGGATTCTGAGTTTTCCTGGCCAAATAAGAAACAGTGTGTCCCAGATGCCTGCTTAGTCCATTAGAAAACTAGCCTTATGTCTGTACCCCAAAATCCTGGAGACAAAAGTTAAATCTTGTCACTAACCTACCTGACCAGCACAGTTGACAAAATACTGGCACTGGATCTGTCCTTTATCTGTCTCCACACCGGTGACTTGACCTCTTTTGACCATAACATGAAGAATACTTGTCCGGTCATAGATCTGAACACCTGTCCCAAGGTAAACACAGAGTTTGGGAGTCGTCATCCGCTGTCTCAGAGTCAGGCATTTGCAGCAGCTTCTCAACAAACACTGAAAAGGCCAGGTCCATACTTTAACTTTAGAAACCAAAACACTCCTGGAACCACATCCTGAGATGATAGAAATGGGCCTTTCCCAAGACTGAAAATACCAGCCAACTGAAGCCATAATCGAATTCCAGGGATCATGGGACTTCCCTGGCGGCCTGGTGGTTCGGGTCCACGCTTCCACTGCAGGGGGCCTGGGTTCCATTGCTGGCTGGGAACCAAAGTCCCACAAGGGGCATGGCACAGCCAAACAAAAGTCCAGGGATCATAAAAGGGGCAGGAGAGAAACAGCGCCACAGGGCCTCCTCAATCCTCATCGACCCACACCATGACCCAGTTCATTCAGAGTGGACAACACGATGGATCAGCCTTCCCCTCGTTCATTCCAACCCTGGGATGTGACCCCCGCTGTGCACTGAATCCCCAAGGCGTGTGCCAGCCTTGGAGCTTCTCAAGTCCTGTGGAAGGAAAAAGGCCCTTACATCTAAAACGCTCTAAGCAGGACTAGAAGCAGTGCCTAGGACACTTAACAAGAAAAACGTAGCCCTGAGGGAAACTGTGTTCACAGGTACTGCGTCGAGACAAAAACTCAGAGCCGCCAGCCGGAGTTCCGCCACAGAAACTGGCTGGTGCCCTGCCACCGGGCAGCGCTCTCCTGACGCCCGTCTTCCTCGCCCCACGCCCACTCACCGTTCTGGGAGGCGGCACTGGCCAGGGCGAGCGCCACGTCGGCGGAGGACACCACCGCGTCCTCGGGGACGTGCATGGCGCCCACCAGGTCATGCACGTTGAGCAGAGGGTGCAGCTCGGCCACTCTCCTGGGGGAGACGATCTCGCAAGGGATGCCTATGACACTGGCACAGAACACAGGGGCACAATGACATTCCCCGGCCTCCGCAGAGGTCAGCTGACAGGAAGTCGGGACGGGCTCAGCCTCATACGTACTTCAGCCTCGAGCTGATGCGCTTCAGGGAGATGAGCCGGTCCTGAGTTTGGGCCAGAAAGATGGAGCCCGTCCTAGTGTAACCTGGAAGGGAAAGCAGCCCAAACTCAGACAGACCGGGCCACCTGTGGGGGCGCAGTGGGAGCCCACCAGACAGTAAGTCAGACGGCCTGCGAGGAGTCCTGGACTGCAGGCTCAGCTCACGGCTCTGTGACCCGTCCCTCCCTCACCCCTTCCGGTGACCAGGCCCTTTCTCCACCGGTCCCTGGTGGGCACGGGCCCATGGAGATGGCTGCTCTCAATGCAGCCACAGGCCTGTGACCTATGCTCAGCTCATCTGACCTCCTGGACACTGGGTCTTGGGCCAGGAGAGAAGGCGGAGGTCCCTCTTCTCATCTCAGGAGCAGCAGCATCCTGGCCAGCGCACTCCCCTTCCAGCTGAGGGCCTGGGTCGTCACCACCCGGCTCCACCCTGCCTCTGGCTGGCAGCCTCCTCCCACCCCACAGGCCCCGCTGGCCTTCCAGAAGCTCCTTGTTGTCGCCCAGCTTAGCCCCAGGCGAGCCCTGGTGTCTGCAGTCAACGTACTGGATGTGACCACTACGAAAACTGAGTTAATGACAATCCTCCCAGATGCAGTGTTTTATCAGTTCTCATGAAGAAAAGCTTGAATCAGTCACTTTTCTTTTTAAAATGGAAATACAGTCATGATAATTTCAGAGCCTGGTTTTTGTAAGTATTAGACATATCCTCATTATATTTAATCTTTTGCTCTGTCCTAGGATACACAGAAAGCAAAAATTTTCATACCCCTGGAAAAATAACTTGTTAAGTACAGGTCAATGTGTGTTCACATTTCCGTTTGTCTTCGACTAAAGGTAGAGTTAAACACTATGGTCAGAAGTCTCCCAGTTTGTTCTTTTTTCCCCCATAATAAAGCTGTTATTCATTTGAAATGCAACTATGTTATTTCTGCTAGTATTTTACTATTGGTTCCCTCCCATTCTGATTTTTTTTTAAATATTTGAGTATTGAGAATGCCCAAATCATTCTAAAAGTCAAAACTACAGAAATATCAACTACCCCCGACTTCCCCACCATGCACCTTATTTCCCAGTTACTCTGGAGGTAAGCACCCTCAGTTGCTATGTCGTGCTGCTATGTCGTGTCTGACTCTTTTGTGACTCCATGGACTATAGCCCTCCAGGATCCCCTCTGTCCATGGGATTTACCAAGGAGGAATACTGGAGTAGGTGGCCATTTCCTTTTCCAGGGGATCTTCCTGACCCAGGGATCCAACTCTGGTGTCCTGCATTGGTCAGCAATTTCTTTACTGCAGAACCTCCAGGGAAGACCCGCCAACCTCAGTACTTTCTGGTTTATCCTTTCTATATTTATTTGCAAAAAAATGTATATTTTCTTATTTCTTCTTAGTTCTTATAAAAAAGCAGTACATCTTATATAGCTTTTACCATCTTGGTTTTCTCATTTAACAATGTATCCCAGAGATCATTTCATAGCAATTCATAGACATCTTCCTCCTCCTTTTTACATCTACTTAATACTCCTGTGTGTGGACTTCATCAATTTTATGCATGCATGTTTTTGTGCAAGATATTAAGTGGAAAAAATAAGGTACAGATATGCTTAATACAATCTCATTTCACTCAAAAAAAAAGTACACATGAACAAACCACAGAGTGGTAACCTTTTGGTGGGAATTCAGTGGGGAGGTTGACTTTTTCTTTCCATATTTCTGTATTATTCACATTTATTATAATAATTTATTATATATATTTAAAACTTTCTAAAAGTTCCTTATAACCCACAAAATATTTTAAAAAATTAATTGGTTATCAACTTGGTAAAGCTTAATCTACCTATATCTAGGTTTTTTAACTGTAAAAGAATGATCCATCCTTATTATAAGGTCAAATAATAAATGAAATACTTTCAGAAGACTATTAAAACTTTTAGATTATCACATTCAGTCACCTGACAAAAATTTTATCAGGTACAAAAGAAGCACAGCAGAAACTAATTTTTGTATAATGAGGACTCTTGAAGTGACCCAGTAACTCTGAGCTAAAAGCAGTTAACATACACCTCATGTGAATTAATTATTTTCAGAAGATTAGCTTATTATATGGTACCATTAAATCTAGGTTTTGGGACTTCCCTGGTGGTCCAGTGGTTGTTAAATTTCTGCACTTCCACTGCAGGGCGACGGGGGAAATTCTGACCCCTGGTTGGAAAACTAAGATCCTGCATGCTCCTAGGCCAAAAAAAAAAAAACAAACTAGGCTGCACAGACGTCATGTAATGTCTCAAAGCAGTCCACTGAACCACCGCGGTCATGGGAGCGCACACCCACCTACTCTGCCAGACAACAGACGCCTCCGTCAGGGAAGCCCCCCGTCGTCTCACTGCGGCACTGGTGGGCTGCACCGGGGGTGACAGACCGAGGGGGTGCCCTTGCTGTTGGTTGCCTGACTTCCTCACGGCCCCACAGGCACCAGGGAGAGTTCAGGCCCAACAAGGGGTTCTGGACGGTGACCCAGAACAAAGGCTAGACTCGGTTATCTTCCAGAAAAGAAGCCTGCAGCCCCAATCCCTGCGGACTCTAGCAGCTGAGGAATCTAGTGCCAGGCTCAGCAAAGCGCGAGCCACTGAACCAAGGGACCAGGAGTCAGCGGTGCCCCCTCTGGGCCTGTTGTGGACCCTCTTCCGACCCAGACCCTGGTTAACGCCTGATTCAAGGACCTTGTCATTAAATTAAATCCATCCAAAAAAGACAAATACAGTTAGGTCATGTCTACCATGTTTAAGTTACTAGAAAATCAGTCTTAAGTTACAATTTACAAATAAGGTTATACTTCAGTTGGCAAAAATAGAAGCTACCATCCTTTGTCAGCATTAATCTCGACGTATCCGTGATTTGAATGACACAGGTCAGCAAGATTATCCCTCACACAGGCCTCGTCCTGTCGTCAGCACTGGGCCTCACCATCCCCTAATGGTACTGTGGTCACCAAACTGCTTCATCAGCAACGAAACTAGCTCTGACTCTGGGCTTCTTGCTAAAACGTCACCTTACAACAAAGTACTAGACTTTCTTTCTGCCTTGTTGCCATATGGACCACGGTCTTAGATTCACCTGCTGCTCTTGGGACAGTTCCTACTTACTCCAGTAAGTAAGTCTGTGTCCTTACTCCCCTAACTACACAGGTAAGGAGAAGCACATGTATGTGCTCTATAGTTAGAAATACCATTAAGTATCAATATTTGGGTGGTTCAAATTATGATTTAACCACCAAGTACCTAAAGCTGAGGTGCCAAGTGTTGCCACTTATTATGCTTTGATGAGTGGAATATATCGGAAATGGCCCAGGAAGATTTTTACTTCATAAGAATAACAGAATTTGAAAAGGAGCTAGGGTACTGAGTGAAGACCCTCAATCTACAGATAAGGGAAGTGAAGACAGTGCAACAAGCTCAGAGACTTGCCCAAGGTCAGAGCCGGACAAGTGGCAGAGCCCAGACTGAAACTCAAGGCTGAATTACCAGATCAACAGGCCAACTTGGTGTAGCACCAGAGAGAGCTGAGGAAAAGTCTAGATTACCTGCTTACCTGTTTGGATCCCCGTTTCTTGCTCTAACTGATGGTAGAGTTTGTTTGAATAATCTGCCATCTTTTGCTCGATGGCCAAGTGCCTGGCAGTGCTTAGGATGCCAGCACAGAACCTCGTAGAGCCAGCAGCCAGCCTGCAGGACAGATTGTTAGGGAGACGTATATGTCAGTGAATACAGCAAGTTCAAGGTTCCTCATTACACCACTGCTGCAACAGCCAGAGATGGAACCAACGCCACAGTCTCAGCTTAAGAATGATTTAAACTTTTGTAATTTCACTTATATTTACGACATTAAAAAAAAAAAAAAAAACACTTTCATGGACCAATCCTAATGGAGCAACTCTAATGAGAAGAGCCAGGTGAGGAAAACTATTTAGGGTATGCGGTCACTTGTATGAAAAAAATAAATGAATCTCCAGATACCCGCATATACACCTACCAACACTTATTTGATTATATATGGAGAGAATTATCTGGAATGGTACCTAAGGAACTTAACCCACTTCCAGTGAGGGAAACTTATAGTTAGAGATTAAGGAGCAGGAGACTTTTCCCTTTGTACTCTTTTACACATTTTCAGTTTTGAACTACGTAAATGTGTCACCTATTCAGAATTTAGAATGAAGTCCAATTTGTGGCAGGGAACAAAGGCCTGGAACAGAGAAAGGACACTAGAGGAAATAAAGCATCAACTTTAGTTTAAAATAATGTATCAATACTGGTTCATTAACTGAAACATTAATCCTTACAGAAGACGTTAATGACAGATGAACCTGGATGTGAGGTGTACGGTAACTCTGCACTATCATTTCAACTGCTCTGTAAATCTAAAGCTTTCTAAAATAATCAAAGAATAGGAACAGAAATAGAAGATAGCCAATTTCATTTCAGCTCACAGAAGCAGCACCCAAGTCACAGTATTTACTGCTGAATTAATACAGCAAAGAGAGCAAGATGGTAAGATGTACTTTAAACCAGAAATGAATACATCCTTTATTTACTTGTTACGTCCCAATCTCTGAAAACCAGAAAACAGGAATATGAGGCATCGCAAAATGCAGTCCTGAAGAGCTCCCTTTTCTGTAATTTACTCGTGCTCCCTAGTGACAGTTAGGTTCGCTCTTCGTGGGTGAGCACTACTGAGATGACAGGGAGGAGGGAAGCCCAGAGCAGCAGAGCCCCAAGCCACGGACAGCTGCAGTCCTACCTGCCCTGCTCCAGAAGGACGACATCCTTCCACCCCATCTTGGAGAGGTGATAGGCTACGGACGTGCCCATGATTCCACCGCCGCAGACGACCACCTGCGCCTGGGCGGGCAGGGCCACGGGGGGCGCCGCGGCCGCTGACGCGCTGCCTCTGGCCGGGGAGCCCTTCCGCCATCCTCGGCGGCTTCCCGGTCCTCCGACCACCGCCAGCAGCCGGGGCAGCATCACGTGTGTCAGCCACGGGCGCCGCGCTCTCGCTCAGCCACGCAGATCCCAGGGATTCACACTAGACAGAGGAAACCAAAGGTGTCACTCCACTGCACCCAGAGCACAGGGCGAACGAGAAAAGTCGGAAACCCAGAACGGTAGCTGTTCACTCAGCAAACGTTTCAGGCCTTCCTGAGTTCCGGACACGCCGCTAGGTGGAACACAGCGGTGAAGACAAACGAGGAGGTCCCTGCCTTTACACACTCGCCTCTGAGAGCGGGGGACCAGCACCAGTATACAAGCAAAATAAGGAACAGAGCTAACAGCACGGTCAGTGGGGCACACTCAGAACACGGCGGTCAGAGAGGAGGCGTTTGAAGAGACTCGGATGACAGAAAACCAGCTGCGTGAGGGCGGAAGCAGCAGCGTGCGCGAGGCCTGGAGAGGCAGAGCTCGAGGGGTCAGCCCAGAAGAGGCGACAGCGTGTGCCCAGCACGTGAGGGGGGCCAGCTGAGGCCGCGCTGGAGGGGCGGGGACCAACCACGCGGGGCTCCGGGGTCCCCGCGAACAGCAGGGTTTACTCTCAGTGCAAGGGAAAAGACTAAAGCAGGGGTGACGTGTTCTGCCCTGTTTCTCCAGGGTGAGGCTGGCTGCACGGAAGGCTCCCAGGAGGACAGGGAAAGCAGAGGTGAGCCAGGACACTGTCGCAGTTCTCAAGGAGACGCCAAGATGGCTCAGATGAGGATGGGGCAGCGGAGTCAGAGAAACGACTGGATCGTTTGGGAAACAGACATGACAGAACTTACTTGCCAACAACTGATGCTAAAATGGGGAAAACGGAGAGATAAGGATGATGGCCCAGTCTATGGGTTAAACAACCATGTGAGAAGGATCAGACACGGTGGAGGCTGTGAGGGTGTGAGTGAGCAGAGTGTAAGGTAAGGTTCCACAGAGTCAACAGCCGGAGACCCAGCAGGCAGCTCGGGGAACACGGAGCAGCTGGTGCCCAAGACTGCCGTCTCCGAGGTGCCCGGAGCAGAAGCAGGAACTGGACCCCTTGCACAGCACCGAGTGGGTGGGCAGACCACCTGCCCGCCCCGGGACCCTCCACCACTCGCCCCAGCCTCGCCCACCCAGGGAGCAGCCTGCTCTCCTCTGCAGGAGCCACCAAGGGCACCTGCCATTGGTTTGCGCTCTCATGTCTCAGCCCGACTCCCAGTAAAGCCGTGCCTGAGCTTCTATTGATTAACGAGTCCTAGAACCCACTTTGACACAAGGGACCCGGCGTGGAGGCTGCAGTGTCCGTGAACCCTGGGCAGTGGCAGGAACTGACCAAGGAGACTCTGCTACTTGGTCCAGTACCACAGGCTGCATATGACCAAGGCAGGGTTTTAACAGAATTAATGCAACAGCCAAACAGAGAAGTCATCAAGCTCAAGAAACTGCAGACAGACCTGCTGGCAGAGCACACAGTCGCGGAAGCACAGCAAGAGGCGGCCTTAGGAGAGCAGACATCACAGCGGCACGTGGTGAGCAAACCCCCACCTCCTGATGACGGCCCCAGCACCCGTGCGCCGCCATCAGCCCCAGCCATCCAAGGCCAAGGTATCGACGCGCGTCCCTCACGGGACTCGGATCCGTGACCAAGGCAGGCACAGACTGTGTCCCAAGAGGAATCCCAGGCAGCCAGGGGCCAACCATCCTGGCCACCTGGTGTCCCACCATGCCTGAGGTCCCTGTCAAACGCTGCCTCAAGATGGAAAGTTGTCCACACAGCCAGTCCTGCTGGAAGCCCATTGCCACAGGACCCATTCTCTCTCCAGTTCCAATCCTTCATTTCTCTCCCTTAAAACCTTAACCACTTCTCCAAACAGACAGACGCCCAAAACACACATGAAAAGATGCTCAACATCACTAATCACTAGAGAAATTAAAATAAAAACTATAGTGAGGTATCACCTCTCATTGGTCAGAAGGGCCATCATCAAAAAACCTACAACACCAAATGCTGGAGAGGGTGTGGATAAAAAGGGAACCTGCTTACAGTGTTGGTGGGACTGTAAATTGGTACAACCACTATGGAGAACAATATGGAGGTACCTTAAAAATACTAAATATAGAATTACCATATGATTCAGCAATCCCACTATTGGACATATATCCAGGGAAAACTATAATTCAAAAAGATACATGCACTACAGTGTCCCTTGGAGCACTATCTACAACAGCCAAGACATGGAAGCGACCTAAATGTCCACTGGCAGAGGAATGGATAAAGATGCTGTAGTACAGATTACATATACAATGTATGTGTACAGTAGTTATGTACAATGGAATATTATGCAGCCATTAAAAGGAACAAAATAATGCCATGTGCAGAAACATGGATGGACCTAGAGATTATCATACTAAGTGAAGTAAGACAAATAAGATAGAGAAAGACAGAGAAAGACAAATACCATACGATATCACTTCCATGCAGAGTTTAAACGAGACAGCGCTACCCTGGAGGCTCAGTGGTAAAGAATCTGCCCACTAATACAGGAGACAAGGATTCAATCCCAGACCCAGGAAGATCCCTGATGCCTCAGAGCGACTAAGCCCAGGCACCACAACTACTGAGCGGCAACTCCTGAGCCCACATGCCCCAAGTACTGAACCCAAGCGCCCTAGAGCACAAGCTCCGTAACAAGAGAGGCCACTGAAATGAGCATCCTGAGCACCCAACTAGAGAGCAGCCCCTGCTCACCGCAACCAGAGCAAAGTCTGCACAGCAGTGAAGACCCAGCACAGCCAAAATAAACAGAACTAATAAAAAAGAAAACTAAAATCACACAAGTGAACTTTTTACAAAACACAGACTCACAGATCTAGAAACAAAATTTATGGTCACTAACGGGGGAATGTGGGGTGAAGGGATGAATCAGGAGACTGCGGCTCACACACACACACTGTTACATAAAGCTAGCAAGGACCGAGAATGTAGCACAGGAAACTCGACTCAATATTCTGTGTAACCCATATGAGAAAAGTATCTGAAGGGGAATGGAGATTTACATATCAGATCCACCTTCTGTACACCTGAATCTAACACAGTGCTGTAATTTAACTATACTCCAATAAAAAGAAAATTCAAAAAATGTAATCACTTAAAAAACAAAATGACTAGGGCTTCCCTAGTGGTCTAGTGGTTAAGAATTCACCTGCCAAAACTAATAGAATAAAAAATGGCAAAAAAAAAAAAAAAGAATCTGCCTGCCAATGCAGGGGACACAGGTTGGCTCCCTGGTCCAGGAAGATTTCACACGCTGCAGGGTAACTAAGCCTGTGTGCCACTACTGATCCCACGCTCTAAGCCCACAAGCCACAAGCACTGAGCCTGGGTGCCGAGAGCCTGTACTCAACAAGGGAAGCCATGGCAGAAAGGAGCTCACGCACCGAAACCAAGAGGGCCTCTGCCAGCTACAACTAGAGAAAGCCCGCCCAATGCAGCCATGACCCAGTGCAGCCAAAAGTAAACAAATACCAATTACAAAAAAAACCCTGAAAAGAAAGGTTCTCTGAAGACCAACTACTGCCAATATGGAGAGGCCCCTATAAAGTAATCTGAACCACTCCCACTGCAGTCAAAGAGCAAGGGACATCTAGCTGGGTACATTTGTCCAGAATAAGCTTTTACCTCCAGAAACTCCACAGGTCACAACAGAAGAACAACCACCTGTAAAGCCAGTGGAAGAGCTAAGATACCTATTCAAAAGACAGGCAGCATCGGGACTTCCCTGGTGGCCCAGTGGTTAAGAATTCACCTTGAAAAAAAAAAAAAAAAAGAATTCACCTTGCAATGCAGGAGGCGTGGTTTGATCCCTGGTTGGGGAACTAAGATCCTACATGACAGCGAAGAGCTGAAGATCCCCTATGCTGCAGCTGAGAGTGCAACACAGTCAAATAAATAAATGATGGAGGGGACACGGGTATACCATGGCTGAATCATGTTGATGTTCGGCAGAAACCAACACAATGTTGTAAAGCCAATTATTCTTCAATGAACAATAAATAAATCCAATTATATAAAGAAAAAGACAGACAGCATCAACAGACAAGTTAAATGATGCAATGGGTCAGATTCTTATTAGCCATTCTTGCTATTGCACTCAGCAGGATCATATGTGAACATCTTGTTCAAACTGTTGTCGCGCTTTACCCGCTTCATTATCAACATAATGGTCTGCTGTCCCCTTATTGTCTTAAGTTATAACAACAGTTATGTCCTTCAAGGATGTGTCCTCTTAACTGTGCGACAGACATTCAGGTCTGCACCCCCTCCTCGGCAGACAGCCAAACCATCATATGTTTCGGAACTCTGGCCAGGCCCTGTGCTTTTCCAGCCAGGCTACAGCCTATCAATGACTGAAAAAGCTCACTTTAAAGGGGCGCACAGTGTAGGGACTACAAGGTGAGTGGGGTTTGCATCTGTAACAGGACCACTCCGGCTCACCACTGGACCCAGAGCCCATTGGGCATGACCTCAGTGGGGGCAGGGCTGGCCATCAGACCAGCAGTCTCACGGGGAGGTTTTACCTATCATGAAGCAACACTGAGAAATCTCATCAGCTTGCTTGTATGTTCAGACAAGCCCTCTCGTTTCTTTGGCTAATGTAGTTCTTGACAACAGTCCAGCTCTCAATCATCTGCTGGCAGAATGAGGTGGAATTTACGAGATAACTAATACTTCTGGCTGCACCTGAAAGCACGTGGTAGCATGAGTGGAAGTTCAGTTCAGTTCAGTCACTCAGCCGTGTCTGACTCTTTGCGATCCAATGCACTGCAGCACACCAGGCCTCCGTGTCCATCACCAACTCCCAGAGCTTACTCAAACTCATGCCCGGGAGCGGGGATCAGGATAGGGAACACATGTAAATCCATGGCTGATTCATGTCAATGTATGGCAAAAACCACTACAACATTGCAAAGTAATTAGCCTCCAACTAATAAAAATAAACAGAAAAAAAAAAACTCATGCCCATCGAGTCAGTGATGCCATCCAACCATCTCATCCTCTGTCGTCCCATTCTCCTCCCACCTTCAATCTCTCCCAGCATCAGGGTCTTTTCAAATGAGTCAGTTCTTTGTATCAGGAAGCCAAAGTACTGGAGTTTCAGCTTCAACATCAGTCCTTCCAATGAATATTCAGGACTGATTTCCTTTAGGATGGACTGGTTGGATGTCCTTGCAGTCCAAGGGACTCTCAAGAGTCTTCTCCAACACCACAGTTCAAAAGCATCAATTCTTCGGCACTCAGCTTTCTTCACAGTCCAACTCTCACATCCATACATGACTACTGGAAAAACCATAGCCTTGACTAGTCAGACCTTTGTTGACAAAGTAGTGTCTCTGCTTTATAATATGCTGTCTAGGTTGGTCATAACTTTTCTCCCAAGGAGTAAGTGTCTTTTAATTTCATGGCTGTAGTCACCATCTGCAGTGATTTGGGAGCCCCCACCAAATAAAATCTGTCCCTGTTTCCCCATCTATTTGCCATGAAGTGATGGGACCAGATGCCATGATCTTTGTTTTCTGAATGTTGAGCTTTAAGCCAACTTTTTCACTCTCCTCTTTCACTTTCATCAAGAGGCTCTTTAGTTCTTCTTCACTTTCTGCCATAAGGGTGGTATCATTTGCATATCTGAGGTTATTGATATTTTTCCCAGCAATCTTAATTCCAGCTTATGCTTCATCCAGCCCAGTTTCTCAAGATGTACTCTGTATATAAGTGAAATAAGCAGGGTGACAACATACAGCCTTGACATACTCCTTTTCCTATTTGGAACCACTCTGTTGTTCCATGTCCAGTTCTAACTGTGGCTTCCTGACCTGCATACCGAGTTCTCAAGAGGCAGGTCAGGTGGTCTGGTATTCCCATCTCTTTCAGAATTTTCTTCAGTTTCTTGTGATCCACACAGTCAAAGGCTATGGTGTAATCAATAAAGCAGAAGTAGATGTTTTTCTGGAACTCTCTTGCTTTTTCAATGACCCAACGGATGTTGGCAATTTGATCTCCAGTTCCTCTGCCTTTTCTAAAACCAGGTTGAACATCTGGAAGTTCACTGTTCACATACTGCTGAAGCCCGGCTTGGAGAATTTTTAGCATTGCTTTGCTAGCGTGTGAGATGAGTGCAATTGTGTGGTAGTTTGAACATTCTTTGGCATTGGAATGAAAACTGACCTTTTCCAGTCCTGTGGCCACTGCTGAGTTTTCCAAATTTGCTGGCATGTTGAGTGCAGCACTTTCACAGCATCATCTTTTAGGATTTGAAATAGCTCAACTGGAATTCCATCACCTCCACTAGCTTTGTTCATAGTGATGCTTCCTAAGGCTCACTTGACTTCACATTCCAGGATGTCTGGCTCTAGGTGAGTGATCATACCATCGTGTTTATCTGGGTCGTGAATATCTTTTTTGTACAGTTGTTCTGTGTATTCTTGCCACCTCTTCTTGATATCTTCTGTTAGGTCCATACCATTTCTGTCCTTTATTGAGCCCATCTTTGCATGAAATGTTCCCTTGGGATCTCTAATTTTCTTGAAGAGATCTCTAGTCTTTCCCATTCTATTGTCTTCCTGTATTTCTTTGCATTGTGTACACCAGGACCCAGGAGAAAGGAGCAGTGACCCCAAAAGAGACTGCCCCAGAGTTGCCTGTGAGTGTCCAGGAGTCTCCAGCGGGGGTGTGGGTTGGTGTTGGCCTGCTGCAGGGATGGGGGCACTGTGTGCAGCAGTACATGCATGGGGATCTTTTGAAGATTATCTTCATCACCTCCACCGTAGTTTGGCCCAGGTAAATAGCAGGGAGGGAACACAGCTCCACCCGTCAACAGAAAACTGGATTAAAGATTTATTGAACATGGCTCCGCCCATCAGAACAAGACCCAGTTTCCCCCTCAGTCAGTCTCTCCCATCAGGAAGCTTCCCTGTGAAGCCTCTTATCCTTCTCTATCAGAGGGCAGACAGATTGAAAACCACAATCACAGAAAACTAACCAATCCAATCACATGGGTGGAAGTTAACATTAAAGAAATATGCACCCAGGCCAACTGGCTTCACAGTTTTAGTGGTGGCAACATCGCCTTCACTCTCTGGTCAACAGTGAAGTCAGACCTCCCACGGCTAACCTGGTTCCCTCCCTTCCTAGGACCTTGAGCTCCCACGGCTAACCTGGTTCCCTCCCTTCCTAGGACCTTGAGCTCCCACGGCTAACCTGGTTCCCTCCCTTCCTAGGACCTTGAGAGGCTACTGCTGCTCTCTTTTTGGCCCTTGTTTGTTACCTTCTGGACAAGTTTGTGTCTTCTAAGCTCCAACAGTTTCAAGTAAGACCCATGATAGCACAAGGACTCAACCCCTTCCAGCAGAGGGTGGCCCAGGTCTCTACAGGTCTTTGAAGTCAGAGAGGGACTTCTAACCTCTAGGGTAGGCTAGGGGCTGCGGCCCCTGTCCAGCAGGAAGAAATTCCAGAAGAAGAGACCTTAGGCCTCTTACCCCTTAAGAGTAAGGGGTGTAGAATTCCTCAGAGGGAATGCGACAGGGTGGAACCTGGGATCCTTTGCCTCAGTGCTTAAACTTGAACAAATGTCTCCTTAAGCAACAAAATACAAAGAAACTATAAAGGACTAAAAGTAACACCATGCAAGTGCAGCTGGGGTAAATTATGGACAAGATAGGAAAAAGACCCAAAGAAGTCAACTGCTACTTCTGAAGAGTGGAGAGCAAAAGCAGGGTGCTGCACAAGGACCATGCACACACCACCACCAAAAGGGTGGGCAGACCAGCCCAGCACCCCTCAATCCCAATGCCTGGACCCGCTTCCACCCTTACCACATATACGGACCCAGACCACCAACCCCCGTGGGGGGTGAGCAAGGGAAACCATTACCTGTCTTCATGCCCTTTTGGTGCAGCAGGGGCCCCAATAAAGCCTGGCCTCTTTTCAATTTCTATTGATTAAAGAGGCCAAGAACCCTGGGTGGTGACACCGTCACTGATGTCCACCCACTGTCTCAATGGAAACACAGCTCTCCTGAGGGCATCGTCAGTCACGCGGCCAGCCCTGTCCCAGGGGCCTCACCACCAAGAGGTATGGTTGGTGTCCTCCTGTTTCTGAACGATTACCACTCAGTCATCCTTGACAAAGACCCTGTTCCTCTGTGGCGTAAGCTAGCAGGCAGCCCTACCTAGTGCCAGGCTACTTCCTGTTAACCCACAGGCACATCTCTGTCTACAGCTAGTTTCTGAACCTGTAACTCTGCTCCTCTCCTAACTTCTGACCTCATGTCCTCTCTTCCTTCATCACAGCAGATAACCTGTCTCATCTTGTTCCCTGAGACCCCTCCTGTAAACCTCTTTGCATCTGCAACCATCTCTGCCTTCTTTCACAGGGTCAAAGGTAATCCCTCACAGAGGCTGGATCCCACTTCCTGCCTCCTTCCTGTGAGTCGAGCTCCATCAACTGTTCTCTTTCACGTATCTTCACATTTCCCTCCTTCTCCTCACCATTTAAATGAGCTCCAGTACCCCTCGCCCCACCGAGGAGATTTAAGTGAAAAAGCAAAGCTCCCTAACACTCTTCAATTAGCTGTTTAATTTCTAAAATTGTAAATTATAAAACAACGGTCACTGCAAAAACTCAAAAACAGAAGAAAATTAAGATTTCCCTCTACTCAAAGTTCACTATATCAGTGTTAATGATATTTTCCCAGAATGTTATTTTTGCAGCAATGAGCTGCCCTGATGTCCACTTGTTTGCCATTGCCTGTATCTTAAGTCTTTCTTTTATGACCTTGGTGATGGCATGGTTGGTCAAGGAACTTTTTAAGCAAAATCTCTTAACATGTACTTCACAAACCTTTTTTTATTTCACAATAAGTAAAGTACATAGGCACTGCTGATACGTTGTTTCTCACTTTTCCCCCTTCCTACTCACTCCTGAACCAAACCGGTGGGGCTTCTTCACCACTAGACCACTGCACCACTCTCACCAGGAACACAAAGGCTACTGCTTCCCAGGGCGCGGTCTGGGCGCCACCTCACTGACCCCCTGAAGGGTCCCTCCTGCTCACATGCTTCCCTTGTTTGCTGGGGCAGCCTCCTCCCTGATCACATCCCGCCAGCCTCTCCTCTGCCCTTCCCTCTGTGCGGACGTCCTTCGGGGCTCCCTGGGGCCAGCCGCTCTCCCCATCCACCCCTGTCTACACTGACTCCCTTTCCTATCATGAGTGACGGCCTAACCCATCCCTGAGCTCAGACCTGCAGGTCCAGCTGAAGAAGGGCCACCTCCACTTGGACTCCCACTGGTCAGACTGAGCACATCTCAAAGGTAAAGCCGTCCTCCTCAATCTCCAACTCCGCTCCACTTCCTGTCCCCGAGGACCCCACTCAGGAGAGTCCCGGGTGTCATCCCGCATGCCTCCCCTTCTCTCACCTCCTCTCTCCAGGCAACCATTCAGGCCTAACCGACAACACCACAGCCTACACTTCCCTCCAACGGACCTGACTCTCCGTCTGCACCGCCCTGTCCGGAGCACAGACCAACAACCTCTCACTCAGTTCCCTGCGGAAAGTTCCCCACGGGGCTCCCCACCTCGGATCTGCGCCACCGTTCTCTGGACGCCCCCCAAGGCTTTATGCAGGGGCCTGAGCGCAGCTCTAAAACGAAGACCCTATTTCGTGCCCCTGCTTACACCCTGCAATGACTATCTGGTACCCTCAAAGTAACCTTCCTTAAGAGGAAATCCAAGACCCTTCCGTGTCTGCTCACTTATCTCTGGTCTCATTTCTCTTCTCTCACCTCTCACACTCATCAAACCTAAGCTGCTGTAATTCTGCATACACGCCAGCATGAACTTTCTCTTCCACCTCGAGGATCTGTGCAAGCTGCACCTTCTAACTGGCAGTTCCTGCCACCCCTCCCCCCAAATAAGGATAATCCCCTCAGCTCTCGGCCTGTGTGACATCTTATTTGTCCCCACCCTCCCCCCAACAGTCAGTTAAGTGACTCCTCTATGTTCCTCTAAACACCCTGCACATCCCCCAGCTCACAGCCAGCCACACTCTGTAACGGGCTGTTTGCTGACCAGAGAAGCAAAACAGAACTCATCCGAGAATAAAGATTTTAGAAGCTGACAGATCTGGGTTTGATAATCTCCCCCACCTCTCATCAACTGTATGACATTGAGCAAGTTATTAAATTTCCATGCTTTGGGCTGCTCATCTGTAACATGGGCTAGGAATTCTACTGCACATGGCTGCTGCAAGACCAAAGCAGACAGGCAGGAAAAACAAGGCACATGGCACCTCAGATGCACTCGGAAAGTGGGAGCCTTTAGTCCCCTGTGATAATGGAAGTCTCTGAGAGCAGGGACCAGGTATAACTCAATCAACATTTTTCTCAGCATTCACCCTAGGCACCTTGGAAATACTACTTGAATGAGACAAAATGAATGAGAACAGAGAACAAAGAAGATGGGGAAAAAAATTAAGTGATGACTCAGATCTCAAGCCTAGGGCCCCAGATGTGAGGCTATAGCCAAATAACATGAAATAACTTTTTTCCAAAATGGTAATATTCTCATAATTATTACGTGCCAGACACTGCTTTATGTATACTGCTAACTTAATCCTCACACATCTATGAAAGAGATGCTACAATTTCTACTGTTCACCTGAGGAAACGGCAGCACAGAGAACTGAAGTGACTGATCCAAGATCCTATGATACTGATGAGCGGCAGAGCCTGAATTGAAAGCCTGTCAGTTTAGCACTAGAGTCTGCCATTGAATCATTATTCCATGCTACCTTTAAATTAAGATGAGTTAAAAAAGGGTAGCTGTAAAGGAGGCCAGAACCACAAGGGTTAGCAAAGATGGCATTAGAAACATAGTAACATTTCAGTTTCAAGAAGAAAGAAATACTACTAAAAGACTGGAGTGATAAGAACCAAGAAAAGGATTTTTGACCTTGTGCTCATCATGACCTTCAAGAGTCAGTGGTGAGAACAAATAAAAGAAGGATTTACAGTGGATGCAAAGAATCAAAGTAAGGAAGGTAACAGAGTCTATTCCAGTAGGTTGCAGCAAAAGCAAAATAAAGCCTGAGAGCAAAGGAGATAATATCAGCAGAGAAGAAATGGAAAATGTCAAAGATGAAGTAAAACACATCTGGTTGAAAACCAATCATGTGTGTAATTTCTGCTAAACAACCTCAAAACTGTCTCTGGTTATGCTCAGATCTGCTTCCACAGATAAGAACATGAAGACAGCTCCAACTCCTGTGAGTTGTTCCTCAGCATGGTCACATCATCCTGTACAAATTGGCTGCTGGTCACAAGGGACCCTGGGTGAGAAGTGTCCATTAATGGTGTGCTAAATGGATCAGCACACCATTTCCCACACCTCCCTCAGCATAAAGCCCACCTCCGACAACTATTTTAAAACACGCAGACACACACTCAGATGCTCCCTCTCTGGAGATTCTGTTCCTGCTGTTCTAGGATGCTGCATCTTTCAACAGGTGCACCAGGTGATACGAAGTTTGCGAGCCTGATCCAAACCCCTAGCCCTAGAAAAGCGCCCCTTGAGCCTGGCTCTCTCCTCGCGCCGCACCCCCACGCTCACAACGCACAGGGAAAACAGACTTGAAGATGCCTCATTCAAACCTCAATGCCATGCACATCAGTCCCAAAGGGTCAAACGTTAGAAGAGAGCTCCCTGCCCCGCCTGGACGTTCGCAGATAACCTCGCTGCCGACTCTGCAGCAGCTGACTAGCTGGTCAAGCACAAGCGGACCGCACGTCTCCACGCGGGAAAACGACTCCACCTGCAGAGGCGACCCGGGTGGACGAGCCTGACTCGCGGCGGGGGGCGGTGCACGGCCGAGGGGCGCCGGGACAGAGGTCACCCGGCCGCGCTGGGCTTCAGGGGGCCGTGGGCGCCCTCAGGGCCGATGGCACTGCTCTGCGAAGCGTCACAGCCGCAGAGAGGCCGGGGGAGGGCGGAGACGCGGCTCCTCAGGGCCGGCCGGAGCCGACGGGAGACGAGGGCCGGCCGGAGCGCCCGGAGCCAGACCGCGGAAGCAAAGCGGGGGGCGCGGGGTTCCGGGCCGCCGAGGCCCGCGCGGACGGCAGGCCGAAGCAGCGTCCTCACCAGAACCTCCCTTTACCTCAAGGGAGCCCCCGGACTCCGCGCGCAGGGGCGCCTCGGCTGAGGCGGGGCGGCAGGCACTGCAGGACCCGGGGGTCCTGGGGCCGGAAAGGGGGTCGGGGGGCGGGGAGGGGGCGGGGCGGAGGGCGCGAGGTTCCGGGGACGCTAGAGACGCGACCTTCCGCGCTTTACGGTCTCGGGCAAGGGTACGCCGCCGCGTGAGCGCAGTCGCGCACGCGCGCCGCGACAGAGCTCCGCCCCTGACACGTGTGCTTGTTTCGGTCTCGCGAGGCTCCGCCCCTGGAGGGGGGCACCCGTCTCCGCATCCTCCAAGATGGAGGCGAATTGGAGGCGTGCCTTTTAGGGGCCGCTTTAGGACTCAAGATTGCCGGGAGAGATGTCAATAACCTCAGAAATGCAGATGACACCACCCTTATGGCAGAAAGTGAAGAGGAACTGAAAAGCCTCTTGATGAAAGTGAAAGAGGAGAGTGAAAAAGTTGGCTTAAAGCTCAACATTCAGAAAACTAAGATCATGGCATCTGGTCCCATCACCTCATGGGAAATAGATGGGGAGACAGTAGAAACAATGTCAGACTTTATTTTTTGGGGCTCCAAAATCACTGCAGATGGTGACTGCACCCAAGAAATTAAAAGACGCTTACTCCTTGGAAGGAAATTTATGACCAACCTAGATAGCATATTAAAAAGTAGAGACATTACTTTGCCAACAAAGGTCCGTCTTGTCAAGGCTCTGGTTTTTCCAGTGGTCATGTATGGATGTGAGAGTTGGACTGTGAAGAAAGCTGAGTGCCGAAAAATTGATGCTTTTGATCTGTAGTGTTGGAGAAGACTCTTGAGAGTCTCTTGGACTGCAAGGAGATCCAACCAGTCCATCCTAAAAGAGATCGTCCTGGGTGTTCATTGGAAGGACTGATGCTGAAGCTGAAACTCCAATACTTTGGCCACCTCATGCGAAGAGTTGACTCATTGGAAAAGACCCTGATGCTGGGAGGGATTGGGGGCAGGAGGAGAAGGGGACGACAGAGGATGAGATGGCTGGATGGCATCACCGACTCGACGGGCATGAGTTTGAGTAAATTCCGGGAGTTGGTGATGGACAGGGAGGCCTAGCGTGCTGCGGTTCATGGGGTTGCAAAGAGTCGGACACGACTGAGCGACTGAACTGAACTTAGGACTCTGGTCTTGGGCTGTTGATTTCTTTTTTTTTTTCTTCATTTATTTGTATTAGTTGGAGGCTAATTACTTTACAATATTGTAGTGGTTTTTGCCATACATTGACATGAATCAGCCATGGATTTACATGTGTTACCCATCCTGAACCCCCTTCCACCTCCCTCCGCATCTCATCCCATCCCTCTGGGTCATCCCAGTGCACCAGCCCCCAGCACTTGTCTCATGCATCCAACTTGGACTGGTGATTTGTTTCACACTTGATAATATACATGTTTCTATGCTGTTCTCTCAGATCATCCCACCCTCGCCTTCTCCCAGAGTCCACAAGTCTGTTCATACATCTGTATCTCTTTTTCTGTCTTGCATATAGGGTTATCATTACCATCTTTCTAAATTCCATATATATGTGTTAGTATACTGTAATGGTCTTTATCTTTCTGGCTTACTTCGCTCTGTATAATGGGCTCCAGTTTCATCCATCTCATCAGAACTGATTCAAATGTATTCTTTTTAATGGCTGAGTACTATTCCATTGTGTATATGTACCACAGCTTTCTTATCCATTTGTCTGCTGATGGGCATCTAGGTTGCTTCCATGTCCTGACTCTTATAAACAGTGCTGCGATGAACATTGGGGTACACGTATCTCTTTCAGTTCTGGTTTCCTTGGTGTGTATGCCCAGCGGTGGGATTGCTGGGTCATATGGCACTTCTATTTCCAGTTTTTTAAGGAATATCCACACTGTTCTCCATAGTGGCTGTACTAGTTTGCATTCCCATCAATAGTGTAAGAGGGTTCCCTTTTCTCCACACCCTCTCCAGCATTTATTGTTTGTAGACGTTTGGGTAGCAGCCATCCTGACTGGCGTATAATCGTACCTCATTGTGGCTTTGATTTGCATTTCTCTGATAATGAGTGATGTTGAGCATCTTTTCATGTGTTTGTTAGCCATCTATATGTCTTCTTTGGAGAAATGTCTGTTTAGATCTTTGGCCCATTTTTTGATTGGGTCATTTATTTTTCTGGAATTGAGCTGGAGGAGTTGCTTGTATATTTTTGAGATTAATCCTTTGTCAGTTGCTTCATTTGCTATTATTTTCTCGCATTCTGAAGGCTGTCTTTTCACCTTGCTTATAGTTTCCTTTGTTGTGCAAAAGCTTTTAATTTTAATTAGGTCCCATTTGTTTATTTTTGGTTTTATTTCCATTACTCTGGGAGGTGGGTCATAGAGGATCCTGCTGTGATTTATGTTGGAGAGTGTTTTGCCTATGTTCTCCCCTAGGAGTTTTATAGTTTCTGGTCTTACATTTATATCTTTAATCCATTTTGAATTTATTTTTGTGTATGGTGTTAGAAAGTGTTCTATTTTCACTCTTTTACAAGTGGTTGACCAGTTTTCCCAGCACCACTTGTTAAAGAGATTGTTTTTTTTCCATTGTGTATCCTTGCCTCCTTTGTCGAAGATAAGGTGTCCCTAGGTTCATGGATTTATCTCTGGGCTTTCTATTCTGTTCCATTGATCTATATTTCTGTCTTTGTGCCAGTACCATACTGTCTTGATGACTGTGGCTTTGTAGTAGGGCCTGAAGTCAGGCAGGTTGATTCCTCCAGTTCCATTCTTCTTTCTCAAGATTGCTTTGGCTATTCGAGGTTTTTTGTATTTCCATACAAATTGTGAAATTATTTGTTCCAGTTCTGTGAAGAATACTGTTGGTAGCTTGATAGGGATTGCATTGAATCTATAGATTGCTTTGGGTAGTATAGCCATTTTGACAATATTGATTCTTCCAATCCATGAACACGGTATGTTTTTCCATCTGTTTGTGTCCTCCTTGATTTCTTTCATCAGTGTTTTATAGTTTTCTATGTATAGGTCTTTTGTTTCTTTAGGTAGATACACTCCTAAGTATTTTATTCTTTTTGTTGCAATGGTGAATGGTATTGTTTCCTTAATTTCTCTTTCTGTTTTCTCATTGTTAGTGTATAGGAATGCAAGGGATTTCTGTGTGTTAATTTTATATCCTGCAACTTTACTATATTCATTGATTAGCTCTAGTAATTTTCTGGTAGAGTCTTTAGGGTTTTCTATGTAGAGGATCATGCCGTCTGCAAACAGTAAGAGTTTTACTTCTTTTCCTATCTGGATTCCTTTTATTTCTTTTTCTGCTCTGATTGCTGTGGCCAACACTTCCAAAACTATGTTGAATAGTAGTGTTGAGAGTGGGCTCCCTTGTCTTGTTCCTGACTTTAAGGGAAATGCTTTCAATTTTTCACCACTGAGGATGATGTTTGCTGTGAGTTTGTCATATATAGCTTTTATTATGTTGAGGTATGTTCCTTCTATTCCTGCTTTCTGGAGGGTTGTTTTTTTTTTTATCATAAATGGATGTTGAATTTTGTTGAAGGCTTTCTCTTCATCTATTGAGATAATCATATGGTTTTTATCTTTCAATTTGTTAATGTGGGGTATTATATTGATTGATTTGTGGATGTTAAAGAATCCTTGCATTCCTGGGATAAAGCCCACTTGGTCATGATGTATGATCTTTTTAGTATGTTGTTGGATTCTGTTTGCTAGAATTTTGTTAAGGATTTTTGCATCTATGTTCATCAGTGATATTGGCCTGTAGTTTTCTTTTTTTGTGGCATCTTTGTCTGGTTTTGGAATTAGGGTGATGGTGGCCTCATAGAATAGTTTGGCAGTTTACCTTCTGCAATTTTTTGGAAGAGTTTGAGTAAGACAGGTGTTAGCTCTTCTCTAAATTTTTGGTAGAATTCAGCTGTGAAGCCATCTGGTCCTGGGCTTTTGTTTCCTGGAAGATTTCTGATTACAGTTTCGATTTCCTTGCTTGTGATGGATCTGTTAAGATCTTCTATTTCTTCTTGGTTCAGTTTTGGAAAGTTATACTTTTCTAAGAATTTGTCCATTTCTTCCAAGTTGTCCATTTTATTGGCATAGAGCTGCTGGTAGTAGTCTTTTATGATCCTTTGTATTTCAGTGTTGTATGTTGTGATCTCTCCATTTTCGTTTCTAATTTTGCTGATTTGGTTCTTCTCCCTTTGTTTCTTAATGAGTCTGGCTTACGGTTTGTCAATTTTGTTTATCTTTTCAAAAAACCAACTTCTAGCTTTGTTGATTTTTGCTATGGTCTCTTTTGTTTATTTTGCATTTATTTCTGCCCTAATTTTTAAGATTTCTTTCCTTCTGCTAACCCTGGGGTTCTTCATTTCTTCCTTCTCTAGTTGCTTTAGGTGTAGAGTTAAGGTATTTATTTGACTTTTTTCTTGTTTCTTGAGGTAAGCCTTTATTGCTATGAACCTTCCCCTTAGCACTGCTTTTACAGTGTCCCATAGGTTTTGGGTTGTTGTGTTTTCATTTTCATTCATTTCTATGTATATTTTGATTTCTTTTTTTATTTCTTCTATGATTTGTTGGTTATTCAGTTGTGTGTAATTTAGCCTCCATTTATGTTTGATTTTTTAAATAAGTTTTTCTCCTGTAATTGAGATCTAATCTTACTGCATCGTGGTCAGAAAAGATGACTGTAATGATTTCAATTTTTTTGAATTTACCAAGGCTAGATTTATGGCCCAGGATGTGATCTATTCTGGAGAAGGTTCCGTATGCACTTGAGAAAAAGGTGAAATTGATTGTTTTGGGGTGAAATGTCCTATAGATATCAATTAGGTTTAGCTGGTCCATTGTGTCATTTAAAGTTTGTGTTTCCCTGTTAATTTTCTGTTTAGTTGATCTATCCATAGGTGTGAGTGGGGTATTAAAGTCTCCCACTATTATTGTGTTATTGTTTATTTCCCCTTTCATACTTGTTAGCATTTGCCTTACATATTGCAGTGCTTCCATGTTGG